AGTAGGTATAAAGATCATGACATTCTTAATCAAGATATTTTCCACGTATAAATAAAATGACGATGTGCATGTGCATATAGAAATGTGAATAATATACTGCATGATTACAAGTTACATTAATATAAAATTTTGATATATTAAAACGAGTTTAAGATCATCGTATTCTTAATCAATCATTTTCATATGTAGATAAAATAACAACACACGCATACATATAATGGTATCTTCATGTATAATTTGAGAATCTTCCTTCATAATTATAGTCATATTATCCATAATCTCAACTGAATATGGAAATAAAACTTAGATGTTCCACTAAAATTAACTACTCTGTCACTCGAATACCAACAAACCATATTGACACTCATTCATTTAAATATTTTTATAATCCAAATCATCGTGAATTAATTAAAATCTAAGATAAATTAAAGCTACTCTATATTGGTATTATTTAGATGAGTTTATTGATGTAAGTATATATGTCAAAATATTTACTACATAATTAAATACAAGTCTAAACAATATTTAAAAAAGTTAAAAAGAAGATTTTGAAATTTTCAAACATACTATTTTTTTTTGTTATTCATTAATATATTTTCATAGACAATTTTGTTTGTTATTTATTAATTATTTAATGAATACATATATATAATATAACATAACAAATTATATATAAAATAATTTCATAGAAGAAACTACTAGAAAAATTTTAAGATAATCATCATGACCAACAATCTTATTATTATCTAAGGAATAGAATCAAAGAAGAAACGGCTGACAATGAAACTGAACTCCATTTTTGGTCAAATACTAACTTCAATCTTCATAAGTAAATTATCTCCAAAACTGGCAATGTATTAATTACTCAACAGTTTTAATTAAATGATAAGAAAATTAATTAATAAAGGAAAATCATAAGATATATGGTACAAGTGTATTATATATGATAAGCACATCTACTAATAGATTTATTAAGTATTAATTATAAAAAAAAAATTTAAATTTGATAATAAAAATATATTTAATATAGCTTAAGTGAGACTTAATCTCAGTACTCTTATGTTACATTAATTGTAGGTTTGTCATTTAATATGTAAATTTAAGATACCCTAAAACTAGATTTCTGCTTTTATTTTTCTCATGGCTATATATGTTAAGATATTTATACCCAAGAAAATACCTAAAAAGCATGATTTTTATTCATAATTGTCTATATATATTGCTTGTTTTTACATTAAGAACCCACAAGCAAAAAAAGAAAAGCTAGCTAATCCCTTTCTTCTCCGCCATATATAGATATATATATATATACACAATATAATTCAGTGTACTAGTGTTTTTTTTTTTTTCATTTGTTGTTCGTGCAAGAAGCTTGTTGTGTCATTTAGCCAAATAAATTTTTTTTCACTCATTTTCGGACTCAATATCTACCATTTATTTGAAGTCTAAATCATCATAATCTAACAAATCAACGGTGAGTACTCGATTTTTAAATATATAGTCAATTGGGTTGTCAACTGTGATTCTGTACAAATAACATAAGATTTTATTTGAATATAAAGTTAGGCTTTTCTCTATTTATTTTTTTATTTTCAAATTATATTGTAGATAGAAGAAGACAAAAAAGAGTTTCAAAAGATTCTTCTTCAATTTGCTCGATATTATATTTACAGATATAAATATGAACTATTAATTTTAGTTTTAATAATTTTTTAGTCTATTTTTTATATTCTTTTATGTAAGTATTTAATTTTGTTCGACTTATTATTTGTGCAAATGAACTTATAACTTTACATTATATGCACATATATATATATATGAGCAAATATATAATTGGTTTTTTTTTTTTTTTACTAAAAGTATATAATGAGTTTTTTTTTTTACAATTTTATATAGAAATATGATTAGTAAATCGTGAAATGAAAAAAAGAAATTTTTTTTTTTTAGTTAATATGACTGAAAATATTGATTTTTTAATTTTTTTTTTCATTTTTGAGGGGAAAAAAAAAAGGTTGAAAGATTGTACTTTACAGATTTGGAGAGATTTCTTTTTAAAATCTATAATTGAAATATTAGATACGAAGAAAAAGTTTAATTCTTATATATATACAACTGTATAATTGTCACGAGTGTAACGGTTGGACTTGCTAACTTGTTCTCCTTTAGACATCATGGGTTCGTGCGGCGGTAGCGTCAACTCCAACCAAATTACTGCACCAGCCCGTCCAAACGCCACTTTTTCACAGGTATATATATATATATAAATCATTTATTTGGGTATTTTTTACTCAGAGTGATATACACGCACACATAATATCTCTTTATTCTTGGAAACACGCGCGTAGGTAGGTGATCATCGGGAAGGAAGCACCAGCAATCTTCATAATCAGGACACTGTTAATCCCACCGGGACCCCATCAAATATTCTAAAGCAGACAGAATTCAGTGATCTCCCTCGAGAAACCCTCTTCAATATTTTCTCCAGGCTTCCTATCAAACTTCTCTGCCGATCCAAGTGCGTCTCCAAAGACTGGCTGGACACCATTCAAAAGCCTCTTTTCCAGGAGATGCATTTGGAACGAGCGACGAAGAACCCTCGTCTTGTTGTTCTCGACCAATCCGACGACGTCTTCGACGGAGACAATGATCTCCAAGTCGTCCGTTACCTCGCCGACGCCCTCTATGTGCATTTTTATTTAAGGCTCCGGGACATAACCAGAGGTTACATCCACATGTTGCCGTCGTGGTTTGGCTTGGTTTGCTTTTATTACCGTGGAGTATTCCTGGTCGTAAACCCCACCAGTGGCCAATTCCTTAGAGTCCAGGAAGGAAACCACTGCATCAGCGATGAACTCCAAGCCGCCTTCGGCTACATCCCCGAAACTGATGAGTATAAACTGATTCACCTCTTCGTTCGTTGCCCAGATGAGAAGAAGACAGATATCCATTGCGAAATCCTCACCATCACCCAACACTGCGGGCCACACATAAACCAGCAGTCATGGCGTCAGATTGACGCCACGTGTCCTTTCTTGCTATGCGCTAACGGCGTCCTGGTCAACAGTAAGTCTTACTGGCTTGTTTGGAGCAGATCGGAGCATCCCGATAACTCTGATGAACTTATCGCGTATCTGGATCTGGAAACTGAGACGTTCGGGTTTATTACTCATCCTGCTCCGACCTCGTACACTGAAGGCAACGTCCAGCAATTGATGAAGTTTGATGGGCTTCTGTGTTTGGTGGACAGATTTGAAGAGCCGTGTAAGGCGGATTTCTGGGTGTTGAAGGATCCGGTGGAGATTGTCTGGGAGATGAAGTACAGCATGGACTTGGAAATGCTTGAAGGGTTTGACGATGAGTTGACTGAGATAAAACCATTGGGTTTTTTGAAAGGGGAGATTGTGATTAACTCTGGACAAGAGAGACTATTTTACTGGAATGTGGAGACTGGAGAGTTTCGAGGAGGAGAGGACAGGGGGCTGGAGGAGGATAATCTGCTCGCGCTCTTTGTTGAGAGCTTCTTTGACCTTGGCAGATATCCGCAAAGTCATATCTTGTATGATTTTCGTTTAAATTTCATTTAGCAGCTATATATACATGTATGTATGGCTATCATTTTGGCTGCTAGCTAGCTTTTGGAACCCATTTGATTCAAGTTTATAAATGATATCTTGGTTTGTGAATTTTCTTTTCTTGATCAATATCGTCCTATGATTTCATATATACATGTATACACACACACTCATATACACACACATGTACGTATATAATTAATATGCCTTTACATACGTGACAAAGAGAAGCTAAACATCTTTTATTTATATACTCAAAAGCAAATGGGAATGGGTTATGCCAACCTAGCTATATAAGAGCATACTTAGTCCAGTATACATATATATATATATCAAGGAGGCCTAGCACAGCCGCCGGAAACTAGGAACTAATGGTATATGATCATGAATGTTTGTATTTGCAGGGAAACATATTCTATAATTTAGGTGTACTATAATGGATATATCCGTAAGTAAGCTATAAATAATGTGTGTATACATACATATTTTTGTAACAAATATATAGATTTTGAACTTAACAGACTATTCTTCAAGCTTTGTATGCAGTGATAAAATTGAAACTCTTTGGTCTGTATAATTCATTACAATTCTTTCTTTTTTTAATGATTCTCAATGTGTATATACATGTCCTTTTAGCGATTCATGTGCACATAAATTGATTTCCAGCATGTGTACACACATATATTTAAATATATATGCTGTACACAAATTAATATGTATCATATAAGTATAAATATACAAATACATACATCTTAACAAAAAAACCCCAAAAGAAAATGTATAACTTATATATAAGTCCAATTAATTATTAAATAATATACAACTTAAACTGAAATTTTTTACACTTATTAGAAATAAAAATATTTATGGGTATGCATTTATATATTCAAAATAAATATAAGTCATATACAACTATATATATAATTTTTAACTTATCTTCAATATAATAATAAATCACACGTAATTTTTTGTCTACCAAAAGAGACGCACAAGAAATACTTTATTAGTGCATAGTTTTATATAAATCAATCATAATATCTATTATAGGTGTATGTAATAAATCTATCAACTAGGATTATATTGAGTTGATAATTCAACTTCAAGGAGAAGTGTTGGGGAAAAATCTCTCAGAATT